AAGTGTACGTCGAGATTCACAGCTGCATTCAAAAACAAAACACCCATAGTTTGGTCTAAAGAGTTTCTCAAGAAATCTGGATGATCACAAGGGGTGATTATATCTGCGCTGTCACCAGACGGTAAAAATAAGGGTGGAATTTCGCAAAGAATAAGGGTGCAAGTGGTTACAATCCGAATTAGTGCGAATACATACAAATGATACCAAACAGAGCAGACATGGGTGGAGGTCGAAACGGCAGAGGTTCACTGAAAATGATTGTAGCTTCATTCACGACATGAGTCCCACCTTGATATATATATATATATCAAGGTTAACGGTAAGAAAATAAATTAAAAATTCTAACCACCTTACAAACTGATTCCTTTATTAGCTGATCATCAAAGCCTTTCACATTCGAAATCTGCTCACTAACTTTCGCCATGTACCGGAAATACTAGGAATACAGGGAATGATATTTTAGTCTCTCATTTCCCGACCGAAAGCTGCTACCTTGACGTGGTGGTCGGGCTTGAACACCGCAATGACCTAATCAAGCTATACTGGCTGAGACTTATGTCTCTTGAGGTTCTACCATGCCAGGCAGGTTGTTTGGATAGCGGTTAAACAAAAAGCAGCTACCTCATCCAATACCATGATCCAAACAAATTCACAAAATTTCATGCCGGATCGGCCGTGGCCCGGATTAACAACGACCGCGCTTCCTGCTGCCGTGTCACAGGGCGGGAGTGATAAGTATGCTACTGAGGCACACAAAACAAAAGAGAACAAACAAAAACAGGCCGCGTGTGACCGGCCTCAAGCAGTTGTCCCCTGGGCTCTGCGGTCACGCAACCAACTTCCACGGTGTGGGCAGCCGGGAAGTAACAATCGCCCTCACAATCCGAAATGCACACAAAACCTCTCTAATCCTCACTTATCTTTGTCTTCATCTTCATCTCTATTACCTTGCCTTCCCCCCAGTGATGCAACTCCTCTACTTGATGGCTCCTCACTCCCTCTTCACTCTGTGTCCACTAAAAACGACGAAAGCCAAAAAACCACCACGGATAGTCTCCTAAAGCCACGCCACCAATTTCATATAGGAGCATTTAATGTTAGGACACTTTGCCAAATAGGACAACAAGCATCACTAGCTAAGACCCTGGCATCCGAGCCATTGATGTATGTTGTGTTTCAGAAACACGCATACAAGACCCAAGTGTGGTTATTCACCTAACCCCACCTGGCCAACAGGATGAATCTTCAAAATTCACCTTGAGGGTGTCAGGAGATGCCACAGCTAGTTCACGAGGATTAGCTGGCGTAGGGATAGCTCTGAGTACTAGGGCAGAAAAGACATTGCTTGACTGGATCCCGGTAGATAGCCGAATGTGTGCTGTCCGTCTGAACGGATCAGTAAGAAGGAGAAAGGACTGCACTACTCGCCGATGCCTTTTCGTAATCTCCGCCTACGCCCCCACTGACTGCAGTTCGGATGAAACGAAGGATGAGTTCTACCAAAAGCTGTCTAGTTTGGTGAGAAAGGCTAAACGCTCAGATATAGTCGTTCTAGCTGGTGACTTTAACGCTCAAGTAGGGAAATTGTGTCAATCTGAGAAGGATGTCGGTGGCACCTATGGAGTTCCGTGCCAGCGAACCGACAACGGTGACCGTCTCCTACAGTTCTGTTCAGATAATCATTTGTTTCTTGTAAGCACTAACTTTAAACACAAGGAGAGACACTGTTTAACCTGGCGACCCCCATCATCAAACCAACGCTGGACACAAATAGACCACATAGCAATAAGCTATCGTTGGCGTGGGTCGGTAGGAGATTGTCGCTCCTTCTGGAACACGTGTGTAGATACCGATCACGCACTGGTCCGGGCTCGTGTGTGCTTACGACTGAACGGACGTAGGAAACAGCTGGCGGTAAAACCATCACGTCCCCAGCTCGATCAGGAAACTAAATCCCTATTTGAGGAAGAACTAGCTAAACGCATATCTGAATCCGACAGCTGTGCTCACCCTGGAGAAGCCTGGAAGAATATTCAGTCAGCTATAGATACAGCTGTAAAAGCTGTGAATAAGGCAAATCCAAAGGTGAGTAAAAACCACTGGATTTCGACTGCCTCATCCGAACTGATAGATGCTAGAAGACTTATTCCGGCGAGCTCCGAATTCAATGAGGAGCGAAAGCTGCACAAAAGGAAACTTACTAAAAGTCTCCGCAAGGACCGTGAACAGTGGTGGGTGACAAAGGCGAAAGAGATGGAAAAAGCATCGGCGATAGGCAACACTAGGCAACTCTTTAGACTCATCACAGAATCGGGTGGGAAAAGGCAATTCATAAGTGAGACTATTTCTGAGAAAAATGGCTCCTTAATTAGCTCTCAGGATAGACGCCTTGAACGCTGGAAAGAACACTTTGAGGAACAATTTAACTTGCCTACAGCCACACTGAACCTCCCCGCCATCCACCACGTACCCGAATGGGATATAGACACTGGTCCGCCGTCTGTAGGTGAGGTTACAAAAGCTATCAGTAATTTGAAACGAGGCAAAGCGGCAGGACCCGACGGAATTATTCCGGAGGTGTTTAAATATGGGGGTGACATACTAGTTTGTAGATTAACTGAGGTACTAGGCAAAGTCTGGGAATCAGAGACAGTCCATCAGACTGGGGTAAGTCACTTATTATACCGATATTCAAGAAGGGAAACAAGTCCTCGTGTGATAATCATAGGGGGATCAGCCTAACGAACATAGTCTCTAAAATCCTAGGCTCAGTAATCATGCATAGACTAAGCAGAACTCGGGAGGAACAGACAAGGGAAAATCAAGCAGGCTTTAGACCAGGTAGAGGGTGCATAGATCATATCTTCACTCTTCGACAGATTCTAGAACATAGACACACTTTTCGGCGTCCAACAATTGTCATATTTCTTGACTTGAAGGCGGCCTTCGACTCCGTGGATCGAAAGGTACTATGGCAATGTCTGACTGTGAAGGGAGTGCCAAGAAAGTACATTGCACTAATCAAGGCACTCTATTCAAACTCACGTAGTCGTGTAAGGGCTTATGGGGAATTGTCATCTGAATTGGTAACAACCAGTGGTGTCCGACAGGGATGTCCACTTTCCCCATTTCTGTTTAACTTCATCATAGATATGCTAATGGAAGTATCCTTAACTGAACGTAGTGACTTAGGAATCGACTTGTTACCAGGGAATAATCTTATGGACTTAGAATATGCAGATGACATAGTCCTGTTAGGGGAGGATGCTGACAAAATGCAGAGTCTTCTGAACACCTTGAGCAGCAATCTTCGTATGTTTGGCATGCGATTCGCCCCTGCAAAATGTAAGATGCTGCTACAGGACTGGACCACGTCAACCCCTAACTTAGTGATAGGGAGTGAAGTGATAGAACATGTTGACCACTTCACCTACTTGGGAAGTTGTATTAGCACCAACGGACTGATTGGCGATGAAATCTCAGCACGGATCCGAAAAGCTCGAGCTGCTTTCGCTGACTTACACCATCTCTGGCGTAGGCGTGACATCCGGTTATCAACCAAGGGACGTGTGTACTGCTCATCAGTTCGCTCCGTCCTTCTCTATGGCTCTGAAACATGGCCAATACGCGTTGAAGACATGAAAAGGTTGACTGCTTTCGATCATAGATGTCTGCGATCTCTGTCTCACGTTAGGTGGTTTAACAAGGTAAGTAATGTTGACGTTAGGCGTAGAGTGTTGGGCAAAGAGGGAAAATCAATCGACGAGGCTATAAAGTTACATAGACTAAGATGGCTAGGTCACGTGCTGCGCATGCCTAACCACCGCCTCCCCCGACGGGCATTGCTAGCTGATATAGGTTCAGGTTGGAAAAGAGCCAGTGGTGGCCAAACAAAAACATGGCATCAATCCATGAAATCCTTGACAGTTAAACTGAGTCAGGTAGGGAGATGCAGACTCCCGGGTTGGGGCCCTCGGGACTCTAGGAATCAATGGCTGGAGACAATAGGTGACATGGCTCAAAATCGTTGTCAATGGCGCAGATGTATTCAGTCTCTGTAATCTTTCATATTCCTTTCTACCATTACCCATTCTGTTTCACTCTTATATTTGTCAAACTCTATTGATTCTCTTCACTCATCTTCTTGTCTACCTCTGTGTGCTATTTGGAACGTGGCAACTCGAACTGGTGCACTTCGGTGCCAAGTTCTATGTTGAATCCAGACAGAGAGACAGTCTCTCATTTTAAATGGCAGTTTTACGACTGATTACTGCATACAATGCACTTTAAATGGGTCGAGTGGGTGACAAATTCCAAAATGTAGTCATACGTAAGATTTCCAGTAGACCTATAGGAACTATATAGACTTACGAGTACAACCACCAACGGAGTTCGAAAATTCTTATTTATGCTTTTAAGACCCAGCATCAACCATTCTACCTCTCACAGTGAAACAATGCATATCTAGGAACTAACCCACTTCATCTGGAAAATCGCTTACATAGCACCTTGGATAGTCGTACCATGGAAGCAAAGGTAGAACACTGAACATCCATTGTGCACATGATCAAGCCACACGAGAATGACGAAATTAAGCAATGGAGTATTAAAATGATTAATGTGAGGTGGCGCACGTCATACGGCTTCAAACGACCGATATTGCAAGAAAAAAGACGAACTGAGTGAAGCTCGATTCTTTAAAAATGAAGGAGTAGGGACTATGGACACAAAGTTTAATGAGGAAATCCAATATGTACGGCGGCAAGTGACACCAGTGTCTGAGGCACTATAAGTAGACCAAGATATATGTATCATCTTTGAGGCTACCTGGTTTTCGACACGCCGTCTGGTGATACGATGTCGAGCGCCTAAATCAGTGAAACATCTGAAAACTGCGTATGCGTGACATACATATGATTAAAGCTAATAACATTAATAATTGCACAGAGACAGTATTTTTAGTATCTTTAGACATAAATAAACCCAGCACCAAGACTTACCTAGGTTACCTCTGCATGTTGGGCAGGACGATAGTTTAGATCGGCATGATGCGCAAACTATGTGCCCACTTTGGCACTGTAGAATCGGCGGCAATGCATAGTCCATACAGACAGGACACTCAAATAGACTTGCCAGATCAATTGAACTAGTATCGGAAGTGTTGTGGGGAAGAACGTTACAATCCGTATCTGATGCACTTGAGATTGATCCTGGTAGTGCCATTGAACAACTACTGGTTGCGCTAGAGTTATTCACTAAAGGTGTGGTTGCTCCTACTTCTCGGTGAGGTATATTCATGTGTGGCATCAGTTTTATCCCGTGATGAAGAGCATGATTGTGATTTATGGGTAACAGGGTCATTGAACGACCCACTGTGTCTGAGGTTGTAAGCTGACTTCTGTGACATGGTCGGTCTTCAGACAAGATTGTATTATTTGAGTTTGAGGGACGATTTGGAACACTCATACTAATATCAGCATCCAAACTGTTCATACAACCAATACAATGAGGATTTCAAAAGTTCTGCCCTTCATGTGCGTTACACTTTCATTAATGTAAACAAACAATAAAGAACTCACATTATGTTCGTGCAGTGAAGAAACAATGAATTCAATAAATCTTCAAATTTTTAATTTTAATTCTATATTTTGTCTTGTATAAACTTATAATTTATGGACACAGCCTAAGGTTTCAAAGTGCTTATTTTTATTGTTAAGATACTAGAAATGCCCATGAATAAGTTGTTTTTTATCTTAATGGAGAGATGTAGTAATTCAAGGTAGCTTGAGAATATGATAGGTTTCAAAAAAGTGAAATGGTGAAGGTCAAAAACCTTGTTGTTCATTGGGTGCGTGAAGTAACCAATAGGAAGTCCTGGATAGACTGTATTGGAACTTGAGTTTTTCATTTATTCCAATTCATATGATACACAGTATGCTTTAAAACCACAAGGGCCACTCGTTTTTTAAGAACATGAAAAGCTGCATTCATTTGTTTTCATTAAAGTATTTTGATAACCACTTTAAATGTCAAGTATCCTGGAGCACGTGTGTACCATTTTTGAAGTAAATACACCCAGCTGCCTATGTTTTTTAAAAATTTTCCTTGACGCTCGGGGACTAAAGAAGGATTCACTTAATGCTTACCTGAATACAAAGAAAGAAATAGTGGTAAATGCGCGAACAGAAACAAAAAGTGACGGTCACATCATTTGTCGCGAAGTTCAGAATACCCTAACTGTGCCTTCAAACGTATTTGTGGAAGATTCTAAAATCATACTTTTACGTAATGGTCTTCTCTTGATTAATATCCCGTACATGTCTATAAATTTAAATGAACTGAAATATGAAAAGAATCGTGGAGAATATAGTCGAACAGAATCATATGAATGCCAAAATCCTGCTACAAACGAGAATGACGTAATAATAAAAAGTTGTGAAAAACCACAAACTCATCAACTTGACCAGCACCAGACAATTCGGAAGGGAAATAAATTGATTTTAATGATTCCTCTGGATCAAAATTATAAAGAAGAAAATGTAAACGTTACTGTTGTACAACGTTCTGTATGTATAACCGCAAAAAACCTAAACTATCCAACAGTAAACTTAAACTGTAATAGGCCTGATTCAAAACATATGATTCAGAGAACTTATTATAAAGAGTACGAAGCATCTGACTGCATTCCTGACCCTGATTCAATTACATTTCATATGGATAATAACTGCCTGATCGTGAATTTAAATGTAATTCAAAGGTAACAATTACTTAAAATAACCTAAAACTTGAAATTACTTGAAGGACTTCTTTTAAAACAATCTTAATTTCAATGTATGAACACGTACTGTATATTATTACCGCTACTCTTCTGAATAGCAGTTATCTTTGTAACTAATACAAGTAACAAAACAATTGTTCAGTCTTTTAAAAAAGCTATCAACTTCTTAAAGTGAATGAATCCATAGTTTCAAAAATATTAACTGTGTGGGAAATTTTCAGTCTAAACTTCAATACACTTACGTACAGTTACTAAGTTCAGCATAATCATTAAAATATTTAATGCTTATGTGTCTACTTATATTCGAGTTTACTGCTTAAAAATGGGCTGGATCCTAAGTTGTGATTATGAAACAGGACTATTGCGTACTAGGTAAGTGTTTGGAAACCTTGTTTAAGAAGTGAAATTATAATCTAGAAGTCTGAAAGCTAAGGACAAGCACTTATTACGTAAGGCTGAAATCAGTCTTAATGTATATAGTTTAGTATCAGAAGTATATTTTATTAACGTGTAACCCACAGTAGTGACAAAGGGAAGAATTTACTAATATTGTTTAGGTGACGTACGACAGAGTGAAATATACTTTTACATATTTCTACCCTTTGCTCTTGTGTTTATTAGATCAGAAGACTGAATTTACCTAGAAACTAGTTGTACAAATTGAACAGGACTCTGAGAACAGATGAAAAAATGCAGATGAGCGTAGTGTTTTCCATAAGTTACTAACATCTCCCTTCAGCTTATGCACATTTAAAATATTTCAGATTCCTTATTACTTCTCATTTATTAATTTATCATGTCAGTTCATAAATTCTTATCAGATATTTATTCTAACAAATTGGTAATCATAATTAAAGTAAAAATGTAGGTAGCGTTGACTTCCGACTACTAGCCTTAACTATCACAGACTAGGACTACACTGACTCACTTTTTCAAAAGAAGTCTCGATTTGTTATCAATCACCTACGCGTATTTATTGGCTCTGACCAAAAAGAAGAGTTTATAATAAGAGAAAAACATTACATTCAAGAATGTTGGATTTTTCTGGTAGATTTAAAATTTTCGTAGCGTAGAGATCTGTGTGTGAAAAAGGCTTCATTTTCCTTGAAAAGCTTTAATTCCAATACAAATCCAAGAATTCAAGAAAGTACATTAATGATAAAGAGGAAAAGCTAGTTCAGCTAAAAAACAATTCCTCTGTCAACGAAGTCATTCTTCACGACTATACTGTAGGGCCTTTCTGACTTTTAGCGCATATTTGCGAGGTTAGCGGAGATTAAATAATTAACACATTAAAGTGGTGATTAATTCTATAGGCGAAAAAAACATAAATAATAAAGTAATTTTGATAACAAAAAAGTCATAGCTTTTAAACAGAGGTATAAATAAATTCACAATGAAACGATGAAGTGGTCGTTTGAGGATTACCTGGAAAATATCGCGTAAGGAAGAAACAAAAGCTAGTGGGAAATCTTCGCGTTAGCTAATAAATGCTGTAGAGAACAGGAAAAAGTGGAGGTTTGCCTCTGAAATTCCATAATCCACAGGAAATCCAGCGAACAATAATGTTAATAGAAAAGAAAAGGTGTTCAGCAAAGAGTTACTCTTTTCGGAGATATCATTCTCAAGCTGTACAAATCGCAAATTTATAGTAATTTGTCTTGGCAACAAAAGGAATATTTCCAAAGATGTGTTAATGCAATTGTTAATTTTTGACAAACAAATTACGTAATTTAGAAGGCGTTAATCGGTTAGAAACTAAAATAAAGTTACAAAAATAGGTTGGGTGACGTAATCTAATTGATAGGGTTCAATGAAAAAATGAATGAGAGTCAAGTTAATAATCTGAGTAGAATTCACTTGAAAATGAATGAAAGTTAAGCTAATAAGCTGAGTAGAATTCACTTAAAAATAAACGAAAATCGAGTTAGCAACAGTCGTCATGAGCGTAGAGATTCAATAGAGGGTGGGGGTAGAAAATAATGTAATTAAGAAATAGACAAACAAAGAAGAAAGAGGTAAGACAAAACTACGTATTTGGTGTTAAGATAGATCAGGACCATTGTAGATTTAGTGACTGAACAAACTTCTTTTGTATGCAGAGTTCAGGATTCAATATGTGAATTGCATTGAGGGATCACGGTGGGGCTGTAACCAGTAGGATGTCCCTACTGCTTTTGTTTTGGTGCTAACTGAATTCTATTAGTTAAGCTTGCAATGTGGTCATCAAGTTAGGTGACTCGCCACCGCGTTCGTTTCCAATGTATTCATTAAAGTCCTGCAGGAGCTGATAAATGCGTAAAACTTTGGCACTGTGGTAGTATGTAATTTCATATTATTTAGTTAACTGAATATATCACAGAGTGAGACAGTATTATTTACTGGATGACATTTCGAACACAATTTATTGTTCATATTCTCATCAGTTATAACTGCACAACTTCGAAATTAGATTTCTAAAGTCTCCTTTTTTCCTTTGCATTTGTCGTAGGGTTATTAGATTGTCCCAGGTGTCCGGGATAATTATAAAGTGTACCAAAAAAAATAAAAAGGTAGGAATAAGATACATAAGAGAAGATTTAACACTTGATAACTGCCGTGATAGAAACTGTAGAAAATAAAGTTATTAGTAATAAGACCGACACACATGACAAACATACATAAAATGATGACAGCATAAAAAATAAGGAGTTTCAAAAATCAGTAGTGCTGTCTCACATAGAACTGAACTTTGAAGCCTGGCGAAGAATTCTTAACCAGGCAGGAATGAAGGTGGCATTCGAACCCACGAAAATACTTAGTAAAAAAATATATCGTTCAAAGAACGCCATAGAGCTCATCAGGTAAAATAATATAGTTTATTGAATACCCTGCAATTTTCGTGAGTCACTTAGATTAGCGGAGCACAAAAGATTACCAAAATGTAAAATATTTTACCTTAATCAGATTAGAAATCTAGAAAGTAGCTCAGTTATAGCACTGCATGCAATTACGCACAACCGTACATTAGGATAGGATAAGATATCAAAATGAAGGGACGGACTGCCTCAAAGCCGCCAGGCTACATCAAAGTGTTAATTATTATTTTAATATGTTAAGTACGATGGCGATGCTCCCGTTCCTTTGAAAGCCACTGAAGAATAATGGTAAATGAATATCCTTGGATATGGATATCCTTGAAGAATGACTCATTTGAAGAAGAAGTTTTTTCGTTGAATTAGCTTCTTCTCCCGCATATAACCCAAAAGAGATGAAAAGAACACTGAAAGCTAACGTATTAACACTAGAAAAAGAAATTAGAAGAATGCCAGTTTAAGCCAGGACGAAAGAATAAGGGGATAGTTTGGAATGCTGAGTGTTACTAGGTAACTACTGTACTGGATGAAACTCAATGTCCTACATTCTCTTACTGCTAATGGTTTTGGTAAAAATGTTTATGAGATTGGTTTTGAAGTAAAAGTAATTCTTGCGTATATAAAATTATTATGAATCACTTTTTTACTCAAAAGATTGCTAACCATATCTTAACCCTATAAAAACTTTAATGTATCTGTTACAGTGCACAATGGCCATAAAAGCTTTTTTCTCTCAGCTATTTTCTAAAACTGTTCTGATGCCACACACGATATATATATATATATATATATATATATATATAGTGAAATTAAATTAACTTTCTCCTGCAGATTTTCTCTATAATAACATTCTAAGCGTTTGATTCATACATCTAAGCTAAAAGATAAACAATAAAATCATTGGAACATTCAAAGTTCGCCACTATGCATTTCTTAAAATATTCTAATATGACGTGTTTTTCTTCAAATATTTTTTATTTCCCTTAGAGATCTAAGAAGTATGAGATATTTTCAATGTTCTTAAGGTAACTTACCCTCGTTTAAACTTTGGCAGTTAAATTTTTTAAAGGAAAACTCTCATTGAATATCAGTTATTCTCTTTGTGAGGATTCAGCTGATGTTAAGGTCAATATTATTAGGGCTTGAAACTAATAAGATAATCACTGAAAGCTAAGGAACACTAGAGAGCTGTTTCTGCTTTGCTTAAGACTATCCAGTGGTAAGCACTAGTGACTCAATCATAGATAAAAGCTAAGAATACTAGACTCAAATTCACATACCCCTACAACTTATAAAGCTTATTTGAGTGCCCCAGATTGAAAAAAAATCATGGATATAGATAAAAATGTATGAATTCTTTTGACTTATGAACTTTAGTTTTACCTAAAGTCTCTTACATTCTACAGGAGAAAAAATGAATTAGTTAAAATTGTTTATATTCAACGTGTGTGATCTTATTCTTAAACCTTTCTGCTTTCAATTTAAACTGTCTCCTTTATGCAAATAAAAAAAGTAACATATGGTTTATATAAATTGTTATTTAAGTGTGCACTTTATGTGTGGTTTTTTTTTGTATATTCCAGTTGAAAGATGGAGAGCAAGGCAGAGTAAGAGAAGAGGTTTTAAATTTATTAATTCATCAATGAAGATAATTTCATTATACGGAAGAAATTGTTTGCACTGAAGGCTGATTTCTCAAGAAGAATGATGGCGGTTATAATGTTGGTAACTAATTATAATAAATAGCTACTATCTTTAGATAATGAAATTTAGCAATATTCTTCTTTGGTGACTCAATTTTACCCTTATTAATCGTTTCTGGGAAGTTATAAATGTATACCTGAAATACTATGATAATAGATTGAAGAGAGGTAATAGTTCAAAGGATTGTGGTAAAACAGATGGTGAGAGTTAGTACAGATGTGATTTTTATGTATTCACAGAACAAACTTAAATGAATATTAGCATTGAATGAAGCTAGGTTCTATTGTTAATCTGGGCAACAACGCCTATATCGTTAATATATTTTTCAAAGACTTCTCAATATCGATATCATTATTCAAAATTGCCCTCCGATTCTCTTTATCTTTTTTCGTTACTTTGGTCATGAATAGACTAGAATTGTGTA